TACAAACACAGGGAAGACATACAAACTCTACACACCCCAGAAACTGAATTTGGGGTTCCAGCGCTGTGTACCACTGCGCTACCACACCACCCAGCATATATACTTTTTTGGGATATAACATATATTATTTTTTTAAATTACTTTAACATAAGGTAGTTGTAAGTGGCGATCAATACCTCACAAAACTGATGCCTCCCTACTCTCCTTGTGATCAGTTTATTTTTCAACCAAAGGACTATTTCAAATAGTGTTCTTTATCAAACACATTTAAATTTTAGAATACAGCACAGTAAAAAATATTTAGAAACCCTTTGAAATTTTTTTTATTTTTGTACATTATAGTTAAGAAATAACTTCACCACAGCCACCACAACCTAAAATGAAGTTTTTGTTCCCACGTGAAAAATAGATGCTAAATAGATAATAAAAATAGTGCTGTATACACAAAACTGTAAGCTACCATTCAAATTACATAATATAGTAGGATACAAAGTTGCACCTCATGTCTGACATTTTCATGAGGTACGTGAAAAATCCTCCATTGGAAATAAACTGTAAAAGTTAGGCCTTCCAGCGCCAATTAACATAAACGTAGAAAATGGATCACAACATGACATTTAAAAATAAATAGCACTATGTAATGCTGTATTTTCCTTCACTGTGTAACAAACAAATAGTCTTCCAGGAGCTGCTTTTAGACTGTCGATCAATTTTCAGGAACAGTGGGACTTACCTACTGTATGTCACTTGTAAACAAGACGTCTACTGCTATCAAAGAGGAAAGCAGATCAGACTTTCCCAGGGGAAATATATTCTAAAGGTCTTGTAGAAGAACAAATTGATCATTTTCATCTGAGATAATGAAAAAGTCACACTTGTCCGAGTATGAAATTTAGCTGCATAGATCTTCAATTAAAAGAGCTGGATTTTTTGGCCACGATTTTTAAGCTTCACCTTTGGGAAATAAAGACATTGTCGGGTGGGAAAATAGATCAAATTGGTGTATAAAGATGCTGATTTTAGACTCTTATGTCTGCCAAACCTCAATTGATTGTGATAATGACACAACAAAAATCCTGAAATAAACAAAAAAGGAATAACTTACGTAAAACAAAAATATCCTTTTTAATTGGCAAAGGAAAACTAAAAATGGCACTTTAGTAACATGCACAGACAGGTTTTTCCTGCATTCTCTTACACTTTAAGAGATTATAAACCCCTGCAAGAAAAAGAATATGTTATTTATTACAGTATATTTATTTTTAGCATCCTGCTCTCAATGGAGTCATTGCATATTAAACCGTCAAAATGTTTCAAACCTTCTTCAAACATTGAGGTGAGCTTCCCTCTTGATAATTAGGCAATGGCAGAAATGACAAATCAAGTGTTTTCAATGTGAATGTTTAAGTAATTCAATCTCAAACAAAGTTTTTACTTTTCTAGATGTTAAGATTCTGAGAATTTGAGTCACTAGTTTACAATAAAAACAACAGGATAACTGGTTTAACTGACATAATATCATGTAGTATGTTACACCCATGTGAGCTTTATGTGTGGCAAATGTATTTTAGGTTTGAAGACTGGAATCCTTGCACAATCCTGTGAATTGTTGAGTAAAGGATTACATGTATTAAAATAGATTGAGTTTTATCAAATAAAACAGATCTACTTTCCCTATCAAAAGTTAATTTTGTGATAAAGGTATCTTCAGATGATGAAATATAAAGGATTATGAAAGTTCAATCAGATTTAAAGCACATTATGGCATTTTCCCAGAACAGCTCTGCTCTGTTCGTACGTCAGCAAAGCAAAACAAAGCCAGACTGCTTTTTTAATCTGCTTTTTTAATTTTTATTTACAACTGATAAATTATAACAAATAGTTTCTACTGTGGTAACTATAGCTTTTAAGTGAGCTGCTAAACTGACTATAAAAATCCCTTTGGAAATGTTTTACAATAGAACAAGGTGAAGAGTTAAAGATCTTCATCAAGAAGTGTAAGAAGAGATTCATCAAGAGTTAATAAAGAGGTATTATACCATTCTTTCTACATGGTATCTACAGATTAACCAGAGTACCCCGATTCCCCACTATACTCAAAAACATGCAAGACCATGAAATAAATCGATCATTACAGGAGTCTTGGGTATCTGTGGTTAATTCGGCACATTACCAGCTATACCATATTTCTTGAGAGCTTTAACAGTTTCCAAAGTAATGCAAACATCCCCCCTATTGTTAACATAAACAAAGACTCAGTCACATTTTAAATTAAATAAGTTTAAAAAGATATCAGATGTAAAGAATCACAATAGAATCAAACAATGTTGCAAAACTATCATTGTTTTCACAACAGCTTTCTTGTTCTTTTTGCAGTTTGGGTCCATGTTCATATTACCTGTTCAGCCAACAACTATATTTGCATAAGGCTTAGAAGAGCACTAATAAAAATACAGAGAACATCCCAAAAAAAATATTTACAATACACACATTTATGCCAAAGCATATATTGAAAAATAAGATAGATCATCAATCATTCAGGCTTTCAGTGAAGCAGTTGTATCATAGGATAACTAGTGTATGAACACAGTCTAGCATTTGCTGGTATAATTCACATAATTTATTTTAATCTGTATTTATTAAAATAATGCATCTTATACAGCATCCGTGACAGCTCCTTTTCTAATTAAAAGATGGAAATGATAAGGAATAATTAGATGTCTGGGCAAACACGATTTCAGAGTTTCTTGGGAATCCACTCCCAGTTAAGTTTCATTGTCGTGAATCAGTTACAAGAATGTCTGAGCAATTAAAGTCTTTAGGAGAACATTATCTCTGCAGGAAACCGCACCTTAAAAAAAGGATTTATTTCCAGAAGCCTACAAACAAGCTACACTCCCCAATTAATCTCCACGGATGCAAGTGAGACAAACAAAGCATGAAAAAATACTGCTTTAATCAGCAGTCTGATTCAGTTTGACTGACAGTGTTCAGTTGGCCCAGTAAAGAGATGCTCATGCTTTGTAGTTCATTGTGAAGATTTACAAGGCTTTAATGATTTGTAATCCAGCTGTGGTCCAGCTGTTTAGTGTGCATTCTGCCAGCCACAGGGGTCAGCATAAACACAAAGAGCTGGAAAGCAGTCAAGTCATTTTATTTAACTCTCTAATGTACTGTATATTAATCAACCCTATCGTTTCTTACAAGTTTCCAACAGCTCTGAACATACTTTTAATAGTGAGAACAATCTATAACTATTAGAAGTCATTGTAGTGCATGTAGTCACTGCTTACTGTACAAGTAATTAATATTTCATTTAGTTTTAATACTAGAACATTATTAGATTTTACTTAAAAATGCTAAATCTATTTGATAACAATATTACCACATCCAGATGGTCAATAAATGTTTGTACTTAAAATGGTTCTACTGCTCAAGTACATACTGTCAAATAAATATTTAAAAGGACAAAATAGTTTATCTTACATACCAGAAATTAGAAACAATAACATTGACCATTCCAATTTTATGTTTTAAAAATTAATTTGAGGCTATACAGTATGTAATATTTACTGTATGTATAAGATTATTATTATCTTTCAAGTATACTTCAAGGATTTTTGTAATAGCCATGTTTTCATAGCATGTGCTATGCCACTTATTACCAACTAATAAATCCATTTTATGGTTATATTTTATAAGAACAGGTCACTGTAGTGCAGTAGTTAGCATTGTTGCTTCATAGCGCTGGAACCAAATTTTGGACCTGGGGTGTTTATTGCATTTAGTTGTATGTTTTCCCCTGTTAATGCGAGTTTCCTCCGGTTGCTCCAGTTTCCTCCCAAGGACATACTGGTAGGTTAATTGGCTTCTGGAAAAACTGGCCTTGGTGTGAGTGTGTGCATGCCTGTGTCTATGTGTGGCCAAGCGATGAACGGGCATCCCATTCAGGGTGTACCCTGCCTTGTGCCCACTGCTTGCCGGAATGGGCTCCGGCTCCCCTGAGACCCTAAAGTGGATGCAGCAGTTAGAAAATGGATGGATGGGTATTATTAAACGTTCAGGACCTCATGGGTTCATCTGGCTTGAAGAACAGTGTAAACATATCTCCAATTACATTGAACTGAACCAAACAAAGCCCAGTGAGACAACTGGACAGAGAACAGTTCACTTTATAAACATAAATGTGAACAAAACAAGGGATTTGGTTTGTTTGCAATCAGGAAATGAACTATATTATAATAACAGCTCTGGGAAAAAAACCTTTTCTGGATTAAAGCAAATGTGTTACGTAAGTATATCCAGGGGAAGCAATGGATGAGGAAGGAGATAGAAGTGCTATTAGAAATTATGTCAGACAGTAAAATTCAGATGGAGTTTGATAACACACAAAAGCATTTACCATTTTGTCTCAGAGGTCATAACAGACAGGATGTGCAAGATGTTGCTTCCAATGAAGGTCAAACAAGAAAAGTATTTCAAATTGCAAGACAAGCTAAAAAACTAATTAAGCAATGTATCTAATGTAAAAACATAAACATTGTGTCTAAAAGGATTTAAATTTACTTGATTCCAAGTGGCCAGTAAACAGATGTCACAACTGCCAACATACTGATGTGCTATAGACATAACTTGCATTGCAGGTGAAATCAAGTGTCTGTTCATTTAAAAATATATTTTCCTTGACAATAAGTGAATCACGAAAATGAATTCTAGTCCTTTTCAAACTCAATACAGTTGAGCTAAATGAAATATGAACATCCAGCAAATTGATAAATTGTTTCAAACCAAACTATCTGAACTACTGTGGGTTTATTTGAACTGAGTCTAGTGTCAATACACTCTAAGAGTATAGCTCAGGTTTCTTTTTTAACTTCAAGGTTGGTGTTCTTGTCACTGGTACCAATAAGAAGGAAATGTAATAAAAAAGATTGGTCCAGATGAAATTTGGAAGTAGATGGAATAGGTAACCAAAGAGCTGTTTGATAAAAACAAATGACTCAGAAAGTGGAAAGATTTATCTGAGTGGAGAGCACACATATTTTCCAGACAAAAACAGAAAGTGAGATAAATGTACAAAGATGTCACAACAGAGAATCATTTACAGACCTACAGTAACATCTGGCATTGCAGGTGAAATCAAGTGTCAGTTCTTTTATTTTTTTTCCCCCCTAATGACAAGATCTGACTCAAAAGTAAACAAATGTAAACAATTGATGCAAACAACCATACAGTACAAAAGGGTGACAAGTATCTCTCTATGAAACAAAAGCAACTTAGTTAACTCTTAGTTAACTTAGAAATTTGATGTTTGAGTTGTTAAATGCGGAAGCATTTTGGATTAAAAAAAACAAACACTGCAGGAAATGTCTAATCATGGTAGTTGCCAATTACTGGTCGATTCAGACATTGTTTTAATGATTTCAGGACTTAATTGCACTAATACCAGACATCGATAGAAATAGTTTCCCATTTTTTAAGATTCTTTTTATTTGCTACCAGCTCTGTTGAGCCCAATTATTCAAGTTCATACAAGAGGACAATTATCAGTGTATACAAAACTACTATGGGATTTCTCTGTCAATTATGAGATTGCATAAATTCTGGTGAACCCCTGTTTTTTAGGTGAAATGTTTCCAAATGTTTCACCCCTTGTTTAAGGATTTAGTGATTTAATGCAAAAGCAAAAATTTCAATGCAGTTTACTCAAAGTGACTGGAAAGGAGAAATATGACTATTTTTTAACCAATATTTATTGAAATTAGAATACTATATGTAGAATTCAATAAATGTAAAATTCACTTACCACACAATAGAAATGTGTGCAATAAAATTTATCAGTTTTTGAATACCCTTAATCCTTTATCTTCACTGACTAAAAGCAGGAAGAACTGTAATGTATCTTTGATTATTCATCTGGTGACAATATATTTTTTAGGACTGATTTAAATGAACATTTTGAAAATAAATCCATATATTTATTCAAGCAAGTAGAGAACTTTTTTTTACAATCTTTACAACTTACTCATAATTGCACAGAAAAAAAAATAGCCTGCCTGTACATTACCATGCACAAGATGCATATGAATCAGAGAAGTCATTAAGTAACTTATGTAAAACATATGGTGAAATATCTTTCATGCATATAATATTTAACATTCACTCATTAAGACATTTCAGGAACGTCTGAAGCAATCTTGAAGTAGAACTGCCCTACAACAAGAACAATTTTAATTAATTTTTTAGGGATAGGTAAATAGAAACTACAGTAATCAGCAAACTGTTTTGTTTATCTGGTTTACAGTGGTTTAGAACAACTTATGACTTCACTCACAGTGCACCTGGGGTACATCTGAATTATAAAACACCTGGACTCCCTAAAACACCTTTGTTTCCTTTACTTAAGTAACCAAATATATATCACATATACAGTACTTATGGAAACATATGTGGTGTGCCAACAGGCAGGTGTACATTGAAAACTTACCATACTTTAATTCTCAAGAACTGCAAAGTAATAAAAAGTCCTTTAAAAGTTAATTGATTAATGTATCCAGTGTAACACATATAGCAGCAAATTTTAAATCTAAAGCAGAATTTCAAATTAACTACATTTTCCTGAATATACTGTAAAAATAAGCACCTTAAACTTTACCAGAATCTGTATATTAACACCATTGAAATACCCCATTAAATGCCCAGTCACAAAATTGGAAGAATTATTCTTGAGCTTTGTAGCATTCTAGGAAATATACAAAAGGCACACTGCCCTGACCCCTAGCTTTTTAATTTTGCCTTCTTGTAGTAGTCAGGGTAATTGTTGCAGGACTCCTGCAGGTCTTTGAGGAATGATGGCACGCCGGTCTGCAGAGGAAACAGAGACACCTGCTTGAAGCAGATTCACACTATACTGCCTTCACGAAATAATCATGGGAGCACTGGAAAAACCCAACTGGGTGGATTGGAGTCCACATCAAAGAAGCAATGTGTGAAACATCTGAAAGCAATTAATTCCATCATGTAAGACTCAGTGGCATCCCAGCCACTAACAGAGCTGGCTAAGGAAAAAGAAAATAAAATCTGCAGCTGCAGAGCACGGATTTTGTTTTCTATTCAGAAAAGTGTCTTCATCTTTGGCCAACTGCTTACTTTACTTTGTTTCTCATCCCCTTTAAAAAAATAGATATCTTTTTTATTAGCAGGACTCAGCTGTTAAGTGAGATTCTTGTTTTTGATTTACTCTGCTAGACCATCTAACTTCACATTTACAACATCCCAGTAAAGGAAATAAACACATATAAACAAAGGGCTAGGAGGTACTATAATTTTACAGATGTGGAAACTGAATAGCTTTTTGTGCGTGCATCTATTACTATCTGCTTCTAAACCAGTAAGTCTTGAGGAAAGCAGTAAGGCAGAAAAACCTTTCAAATCAGCTTTGCAGAGGACACAGCATTGTCTTTTTAAGAACTAGTGTTCTACCCAGCTCCCTGTATTGTCATGAGCTGGGGTTTCCAGGACATATTTCATTATTTCATTTTCTGTAATAACAGGAAAGCAAAATAATCGCAGGCTTAGTCAGGCTTAGTCAAACTATCATAGTACTCTCAAAAGATAAAACTTTGGCTAACAACTATACTCTATGAAGAAAAAGGAAGACCTAGAAAAGTATTTGAGACCACGAAAACTCACCTTCGCTGCCCAATTTATAAGCCAAGCTGGTATCATCCCACCCGGGTTATCAAAGTAGTTCAGGAAAACTAAAATAGAAGCCAGTAAAAATAGATGAAAAAAACAGTATCAAAAAGCCAAAACACAAAGGACTATAAAACATCTAAAGATGTGTGGTATAACCTATTCCAGCATTCTTTTGAACACTCAATCCCATATTATTTAAAAAATGAAATTTTATGTTTTATTTTTTGTGATACTTTTGAAAGGAGTAAAGCTACCAGTTCAAAGCAGTTTCTGACAGCAGAATGGAGTAGTCGTTAGGGCTCTAGAATCAGGACCAGAGGGTTGTGGGTTCAAAATCCAGTAAATGCCATGGTCTTTTAGAAGCATAGTAAAAACCATTCATCTTCACAGATACAATAAAAGAAAGGGCAGAACCAATATGATAAACTCAGTAAAGAACTCAGAAATCATTCAGTTCATTCAGTTCGGTATTCATCATGTCCAGTTTGTGACCTAGGAATAAGATTACATTGTTTTAGTGAACATTTAACCTAACATAAATCTAACACTTATTGAGTGCAATAATAATACATTTAGCTCTAAAGCATAAGATTTGAAAAACATTTTTGCTGAAGACCACAAATTACTACTGTATGTTCAACAGGAATAACTGGAACAGTTTACCTTTAGTGCCACAGTCACCATCACTCTCAATGGCCAGGCTCTGTTTATAGTCTTTCACTCGGAGGATTCCAGACTTCTCAGGACACAGGGAATCTGAGGCACTCTTTGCCAACATGACATAGATTTTTCTTCCATTGATGTCCAGATCTCGCCGTTCTCTCACGTAAACATACGTAGCACAAAGTTAAAGAAGCTGGAGAGATACTACATTAAACCCATTACAAAGGAAAAATGGAGATACTGTCAAAAAGGATACTTGATACCAGTTAATGTGATGACATTTAGAAATGTCTAGATCTACATTTACTTTTAGGTAAGTATAAAAAGTGTTTTTTTTTGAGCAATCATTCCTAAAATTAGCTTAGAAACAATTATATGTTAATTACATGCTGAAAAGTATAAAGAAAGAAAATGTGTCCATATGAAATCTTTAAAAAGTATAAGTACAGATCATGGCCAGCAGCAAAATTAAGCCAAATGTCTGTTGGCACAGAAACTGAGCTATAATAGGAAAAGGATACGTCTCTGTTTGACAGAGGAAAAGGGTATTTCACCTCCCAGTAAATTGCTGTCTGCCCAGCATAGCTTTTTTCATAGAGCTCTAATGAATTCAAAAATGAAAAAAAAACATTAGATATAAAATCCATTACTATTAGGCAAAGCAACTGAAAAAAAAATACGCATTGAAAAACAATTTTGCCATGTCTGAAAACTATATAGGATTTTTTGTTTTGTTTTTGTTTTCTCTGAATGCAACTTTCTCTGTATCCTTGGCTGGAACTAGGTTTGGAATCATTTTTCCTTCAACAGCTAAACGTAATGAATATGTGCTACCTTAGAAGTTATGTTTCCACTATCGAAAGGTGGAATCAATCTCTATGCCAAGTATTGTTTGTTTATCACACTCTCTGTCAGCATAGATAATACAACTACTTCCCTCAAAACATTTAATCACCTGGGCGGTATGATTTGAAACAACAAGAGTTTCCAAAAATGTGCTATCCTGCAGTTCCAAGCAAATAGACAACACAAGTCAGGATTTGAGCATTTGAAGTCCGACATTACACAGTTCTCAGCACGCATCTGATAAGTTCCTGAATTTTTATTTTCTAATCTCTGGTGAAGATTAACCCTGCAGTAAGCACATTTTAATACTGTATACAGTGTGGGATCAGGTGTATTTCTCAAGGTATCTGTGAGCTACTGTACTTCCACAAGATATGCAGAACAAAAAATCCCTGATTATTTCCCCATTCCTGGTAATTTTTAAAACAAATATATGTAAGCTCAGCTATTGGTAGGACAGCTTTGTTTTTTTTTCCATTATTGTAGCATTATCTGAAGCCAAGACTGTGTTACTAATGAAATAACTACTTTTTCTTCATACAGCCTGTTCATCTCCCAATTATTCTAGCTACTGAAAAATAACTGCACTATTGAAGCCAAGGAAACATATCCAAGCAAGTCTGACTCATTTACAGATCTTGCAAGCTGGTAAAAAAAAAAGAATTACAATGTAATAATTTACAAAGGGGGACAGTGCAAAAGAATGCCTTTTCAGGCTTGTTGTCTCTTTTCAATAGAATACTATGTATCTTTAAACAAACTTTCTCTTCAAATTACAGAGTTATATAATTCACCTTGACTAAGAAATCAGACCCAAGACTGGGAGGGACAAACCACAGTAAAATGTTGCTTCCTGACTAAAGTAGCTCTAGAGTCTTTAAAAGTTGGCTCCCCTGTTCTGACCTGCTGACTCTCAGTTACCACCACACTCGAACAGAGCACACAAGCAGCGGACAAACTATGACAAAAGGGCAGGAACCCTACCAGTAAAGGATCTTACGTGTTAAGGCCAATTATCCAGACATTGCTAGCCTGAGCCTAGGTTGTGTCAATAACTGACTATGACTGTGTTTCCCTAAACTGGTTGCAATCCTCCAGACCTGGGTTGGCATTAATCAGCCAGGGCTCCATCGACTTTCCAGAAAACAACACAATTCCTTTGACCTGAATGTCAGAGAGGCCTGACTTCAGTGATACCGTCTTGACTGATATGACATTACATAAACGATGAAAGGTCTGCAGGTGGTCATATCAGAGTAGCATATCCATGTCTCATTCTCTTCTGAATGGTACAGAACTCATACCTGGAGAGCAGAGCCTTAAAACAACTAGCAATTCCAAATGGCAATTCAGGCAGTTGCCAGTTGGGATTGATAATAATTAGCAATTATTGGAAAATAATTAGCAATGTCACATTTATTTGTAAACTCCAGCCTCTTGGTGTAGGAATTTTGAATTCTCTTGAGACTACTGAGAAAAGTACATCACCATAGTAATCTCATACTATGTGACAAGACCTGTTACACAGGCAGAACAGTTTCACAGGGAAGGAGATAACAGATGCATGATGGCGCCTCTTCACAACAAACTACTTACATCTGACTAGACTATTTCAAAAGCAACAGAACACAACAGGGAGACCAATACAAACAGCTGTTCTATTTCAAAAGTGCCAGCTTTCATTACCTTGTGGAGTGTTTGAAGACTGAAAACAATGGAAGAAAGATTTGCAAATCAAAGAAAGCATTTCTTAGAAGCAGTGCAGCACTCCACTTAAAGCTTGGAAAACAATGTTTCAAGTCAGTCATGACCCATTTGTGATTACAATACTCGAACCCTAAATGAAACCTGACAATTCATAATCTAACTTTTCTCTTTAAAAGTTAAAACCTTAAAAGTTATCTATTCTTCTTAAAACAATACTTGCAAACAACAACAAGAAGTTTTTCTTCAATGTAAATTCAGTAAAAAAAAGGACTGTCATACAAATCCATTTGTATTTTGCTAAATATTTGGAAAACAGTTATGAGACTGTGAAAACAATGTGACATTATGTGCTCAAAAATTATTTGCAACCACAACACAATCATCTTGGAAAAAGAACTGAACAATTAATGTTTTCTTGCTCTGGTTACACAAAAGCAGTTGTGTACTGTAGTAAGATTTCAGCCTCATGCTCAGTAGAGGCATCCTGACCTAGCAGTTTTCTCTATTTGCAAGATTCCCTCCTGAGTTGCTCTGAAGTTACTGCAGGAATGAAATTATGGAACTGAAGCACTTGATGAAAAATCGTGTCACTGCAAGTTTTATGCAGCAGATGATGAGACAATATATCTCAATTGTTTAACAAGTTTGATTTTAAATCAATCTATAAAAGAAGTGGCTTTATGTCTGTGGAAGTGACACACCGATTAAAAGTTATTTTAAAAATTGTCAAAGCAGTGCCTCTTTATATATACTGTATAATGTCTTTATCCTATTATCTAATTAGCAATTGCATTTTCAAATGTACATCTATTATAATTTACAACACCATCAATTGCCACAGAGCAAATGTAAAATTGCTGTATTCATAAAGATTCGGATTGGAAAGGTAGATGCTGCATATACTTACCTTTAACATATCCATCCCATGTCTTTCTGTACTCTAAGTCCATGTACACATCAGCACATGTCTCTGGGGTGCAGTTGGTAAGACTACCAAAAACCTTATACTCATATAGTCCCGTTTGCTGTTGAAAGGTTGAAAGAATTGTTAATATAAACACATAAAATACTGTAAATCTGTTGCCAATTTTATCAAGCAAGATTAACAGATTCTTACAACTGTGCACTACAAGTATGTTCTGAAAACCATTCACTCAAAATATTCCAAACTTGAATTTGTTTCCAGTGTATAACCCCACAGTCAAATAACAAAAAGTAATTTCAGTATTTCAGTATTTTACTTTTTGTATTATTATTCTTCCTTTCTTTTCCCACTTTTCCCAAACACAGTTCCATTGGTAACATGCAAACTACTTAACCAAAATAAAATCACGCACATACAAACAATAATTAGGGGTATTTTGCATTGAACATAAGCAAGTTGTATGATAAGAATGTTCTTCTGCTACATTCTGCTTATTACTTCTGTCTTAGTAGCACCAGCTAAACCCTTATAGTTTTGAAATGTACTGTGAATCATGAATGGCATTAGAACAGAGGGTAGTTGCACTTGAAAAGTAGAAAAAAAACATTACGTATAGGCTGTGCGGAGTCTAAAGGGCATTAGACTTGTAAAACTTGTGCTGCCACTCCTATCAGAAAATAGTTAACAGTGTGCGTTAAGGCCTTCATACAGCGCCGTGATTTTTTTTTTTTTTTTTTCAGTTACAGAATTCAGAAACTATGAACCCGAGGTCTTAAAAAGTCGATTTGATTTTATTAAATACATTTAGAAATGTACAGTAACGGCAAGATGAGAAAATATCATTTATTTGGGTATATAAATGTGAATAATAAATGTTTATCATCATGCAAGCATGTACACCAATAATCTCTAAATTCCATCTGTTTTCTAGTACAGTTTCTAATAGTTTTATTTTGCTTTGCGTACATAACTTGTTTCAAAATTATGCAAAAAACGAACAAGAAGTGCCTCTCGTCGTGCCCCTTTGTGGTGACGTCACAGATTCAAACAAGGTAGATTTCGATGTAAACATTTACAGGCCCGCACTGTGATACTTCTTTACTTGTGGGATGTTTTGTATATTGTATATTTTAAACGTATTATAGTTCTGCATACGTAGGCTTATTTACCCTGTTCACTGCATTTTCTTGCAGTAAAAATACCTAAACGTTTCCTGAAAAGAAAATAATACTACAAACCGTGTCTTATTATTGAACAATCATGCATTTTATTTAAAAATAAATGTCGAAGCACGTCTTAAAAAGGGTTCATATTAACAGTAAAGTAAACCACAAAACCGAAAGAAGACTGAACGCTCCCCCTTATCGCGTGAATTTTAGGGAAGGAGGGTGGGTGGTTTTTCTGAAGTGTCTGAATTGCCCCTGTATTCTGCTAGAGACTGGCGTTCAGCTCAGGATGTAGTCCCGCCTTGTATCCCGTGCTTCCGGGATATACACCGGGTTGCAGCAGCAGAGTCCCTTATGGTAACCAGAAATAAGTGTTACTTTTATCAGATGAAGAACGACGAACAGAGCTCCCCACTGAAATATTTCCTTACATACCGCGTTTAATTTTGATTTCGTAAACCTTGCACATTTTGCATTGTCTGACAGGTTTTTATGATTTTTCGTTTATCAGTATGTATTCATATTCAAAGCACCTTCACAAAATTCAGAAATCTACCTTATCGTAAAGCCGGTAAATTTTTATCCCACTTGTCTCTGTGAAGAACTCCCATCCTCCTTCTAGCTGGGGTTCATCCAGTTCTTTCCAGGCTTCCTGAAACTGCTCCTCTGTGAACTGCAGCGCCATGTTTTCAAAACCAGTGTAACTCGATCATGTGAGCAGAAATCTGCAGACTCCTAGCTGCGGTAGACACCTGCTCTCACTATGCCAGCTAATGAGAAGTTAGTTTAGACGCGATACCGTATTTCATTTCAACCTTCTTAAGATTTCTTTCATTAAGGAGAAAAAAGCAAGTTATATGCAGAACTGTAATTGTTGCCGATGAAGCTATTATCAGTATTAGATTGGATATGAACTCTCTTAACTTTCACTGGAATATTATTGGAGTGTCGTGGTTGTAGGAGCCTATAATTTAAAAGAAATTCAACATCCTCGTTCTAATCAGTTTATTTGGTAAACACCATTATTTGTAACTGTATTGTTTATTGTTTAGTGCACCAGACTAAACAAAAGGTTACTTTATTACTTTATTAAGGTTCTGTGAGGCGGTTCCCCTCCTCTGGCTACTCCTCAGTTGTCTTTTTTTCGATATACTTCAGGGATCTTAGATGTTGTTAAGGCTTCTTTCTATGTGTAGTTGTTTTCTTTTCTTCCCTTTGGCACTATAACATTTTAATGATCTATTATCTGATTTTAACAACTTTAAGACCTGTTAACTTTGGACCACTCCTGAAGCAAAATGTAGGTACTGTTTTGATAAGAGGAAAAAGACATAAACTGATAAAATCCTTAACATATTTTATGAAAAGCTCTGGATAAAATATCTTTGTTGGTGTTTTCCGTGTATCCGAACACATGGAGTCTGACATTTTTTTTTGCATACTGTAGAAACTATATTCAGGCCCACTGGGCCCTCAAGTGCCTGACAGATCTTCTCATGTCTTTGTTTTTACTGTATGCTAGAAAGTTGCTTTTTCATTAATGACATGGTTGAGTTCCCAGCATTGCCTATGTGGCTTCCCTCAAGACAAGTAAAGATACTGTACTGTATATTTCTTGGAATCGTGTGCTTTACACACTGTAACGTAACCAGCTACACCCTGGGTCCACCAGTGTCTTTCATAAAGGCAAGGTTGAATGTATTTCTATTTACCAAATCTTTTAAGTAAAGTGTCGAAAATACAGTATCTGGGACACGCTTGGAAAATGATCTTACAGGGTGTCAGAATGTAGAAGCTCAAACTCAGTTTCTCATGTAAGATATCCACATCAGTATTTTTTCAGGTAATTGTATTTATAGTTATTTAAGGACTTTGAGAATAAGGTCTTCTAAAGGAGAAGACAGGAGGAGTCATTGCTTCCTCCACTTGAATGGAAATCCTCTGCTTTTGTTGGAAAATGAACTACTGTAGCTCAGGAATGAAAAACAAAAAGGACAATGCCCCATATCAATTGACTATATATTTGAACATCTCTCTTTGAAATGGGGCATTATAAATTGAGCTTAGACATAATTAAAATGGTTTGACGCTGTGTATAGCGCTTGTAAATGTATTATTCAAGATTATGAAATCAATGGTGGATTATCAGAGCACTTAGCCACTACTTCAGCCTTTAGTTTTGCATTAGACGGTAGTTACGATGTAGGCATGTCTGAGAAATGTACTGTAGGTAGGGCAGCCGCAGGGGAAACAGAAACACCTACAGTACTTGATGCAGTTGCTGTGCTGACTTTGTGAAATAGTCAGAAAACGCCAATGGAGTGGACTGAAGGTCACATCTGCATGCAATTAATTCCATCATCTGAAACACAAAGGCACCCCAGCCACTAACAGAGACAGGGAAAAGAAAAAAAAACGCAGCTGCAGAGGAAAAATCTGTCTTGCGTAATATAACCACACAGCTCATACTGATAAAAATTGTCTTTGTATCTAACTGGCTATCTGACTTTCTAGTCCTCCCTTTTAAAATATATTCTTCATTAGTGCTGCCCAGATGTTGAAGTGTTTTTGATTTACTCAGTTGTACAATCAGGCTTAACATTTACAATATCATAGCAAAGAAAATAAACACAACTACCTGGGAGGGCTATACTGGGCTAAAGGTCTACAGATGTGGAAGCTAAACAGCTGTATAAGCCTATCATCATTTGCTTGTAAACCACTGCAATTTTAGCCAAAGAGATAAAACCCTTTGAGGGAGCAGTCTGCAGTGAATACTGTGTTGTGTTCCTAACAATTGGTATTTCCGTCCAGCCATCTGCGCTGTCAAAACTAATGGCTTCAAAATCATTTTACCCCCATAACCTTTTAAGCAGCATTTGTTTATGTGAGTGTTGAAAGAAACAAGGGATATAAGCTTCTACAACATTATTTTTAGTTTGTTCCAGCCACCCTGAACACTTTGTGTTAAAAAGTGCATCATATTACCAGTTTAAATGCTCTTTACTATAGTTTCCATTCCTTCATGTTTCACCTTCTGTAGAAGTCCATTTCATTGTATTTATGAGTGTGTTTCAGGCATTTAAATACTTACAAGTCTCCTGGAAATCTTATTTTTTCAGCTCTGTTTGTCAGAGCGGACATTCTCAGAAGACATTGGGTAGGGTTACGATTAGGGTTGTATTAATGCAACATGGCATTTTAATATAATTTAATACATGGCTTGATTTAAGTTCACAGTTTGTAACTTTGTATACTAACATTGTTTGTCTTTTTAATTTCCCCAATATTTCTTAAGTTTTGTCAACATAAACATATGATACAGTAGAGGTGTTTTCATAGATAGCATCTTCATGCTCAGTGTTTCCCATCTTTTATTTATTGCTGATTTGTCTGCTACCTGCAACATGTAACATTCTCCACTTTGAACATAAGTAATTGGGCAGTACCTCTCATTTGAATAACTATCTATAGAGTTCTGTTAACAGTCATTATATAAATTCAATGTTCTTAGAATTTTGATGACCAAATACCTAAAAAAGCTCATATTTAAATATTTAAAGGGCTGCTGAGGAAATTATCACTTACAAGCACAAAAGAAGGAATTTCTTTAGTCAGTAATTCTGGAATACACTCTGTAGCTATATTGTTTAAGCTTTCTCCATGAAACCTTTAATGAATGGCTTAATGGGATTCTGGAATCATTAAGGTACTAGCTGCCAAAGAAGCATGATGGGCCAAATGGCCTTCTACCACTTGTTGCTCTGTAAATGATTGCCTTTTAAAACACTTGTGCTGGCATGTACAGTAGCTTAACTTTAGTGCCAGAGTGACTATCATTCTCAATGACAAGGCCCTATTCAAACTCTTTTACTTGGATCGCTCCATAGTTCTCATGAACTACAAACAGAGGCAAAGCAGAACTATTCAGAATCACTTAAGGATTTTTAAAACATTGTATTATTAAGGTGACCATGTATATAACTCAAAACTCAACTTCACACTGAAACATAAGGACTCCAAGATAATGCATGCTCGTTGATAAGGAATTGGTTGATAACCACAAAGAACAGGGCATTGCTAAGGGCATTATCTCTGACTAGATTTAGGTGATTGTTGTAGTACTGCAGGGATTAATATTAAGATCATTACTCATCTAAATTGTCATGATAGATGTCTCTGGTTTAGCTATCCAATTATGAGATAATACTGACGCAAGTGAAGTAATAAACACTGTTTCTGCAGTTGAATTGACACAACATGATTTATACACTACAGTATATACAGTATGATTATCCATTATACCTGGGCAGACACTTGGCAAATGAAATTTACTCTGAATACCTTTGTTTTATAATGTGCAGACAGCAGGACTGTACTGTGTAATTGCCCTTTTTGGGGTGCTGAAGAATAAGTAATAACAAGTACAAATCAAGGAGTTCATATGGACCCATAACCTTTCTCTTCCAGGCATTAAAATAGCAAACAAAATATTTGGATTTCTAATTAATAATGTAAAGTTTTAATCAAATTAGATTGAATTAATTTAATTACGTTTTAATTAATTAGACTATTTGCAATGTTGTGTTCAGTTGTGGTTATGATTCAACTAGAGGCAGTACAAATGAGAGAAACCAGACAAATTCCTTGTCTGAAATTTTATACTCAGACTAGAGGAACTTAATCTTCCCTAGATGGCATATGGATAACTCATATTTATCCATTTACCTCATATTTACATATGAGAGTTGGGGCAGAGAATGATAAAGTATAACATGTTGTTTACCTACAGCATATCTAGGTAGAAAAGGTTCAATGGGATACATACTGTACATAAGAGGCCAACTGTACACAATTACCAGTACACTAATACTATTTTAAAAGTGCCAACTTCTGTTATCTGATAGATCAGAACATAAAGAGTAGTTAAATAATCTGAGGATCTCACCAGTTATTTCTTAAAAGGAACTGGGGTATCAGCTTCAACAAAATGGCTGGGCAGTTTAGACCAGATACCTACAGTACAACCCTGTTCTGAGTGTTAAATGCAGTTTTTGTAGTTTCCACTTACAGTATGTACCCCAGTTTGTGTTTCTTCAGTTTCTTAATTTGTCTGGGTTATGTTATGAAAACAGTTGTTCCAACTGTGCTGATAAATATTATCTTTTTTTCCTGAAATATGAGGGCACAGTCTGCAAATGTTGTCCAAACCTCTTGTACAGACCAACATTTAAACAGCAGGCTGGCCTACCCTTGAACCAAATCTAAAAACCTACTAAACAATAAAATGAGTGAAGTATTGACGGGGGTCCTGTCTGGATAATAATCCAAACAGGTACATCCAACAGCATTGAACAGCTTCAACAAAATGAGACCTGTTTTTATTAAGAAATGCATTCTCTCCATCAGTACATCAAAACTGAAAACTTTTACATCAGGTTCTGCAAGCTAACATATCACTAAGGACTTTGGATTGTTCAACTGTACATTGATGAGAACAACAAGTATGTGAAAAGTAAATACAAATGGTCAGGAATAATCAGATTCTTTCGATCAAGCAATAATATTATCACAGAACCTGAGAACTGAAGAAATTCAAAAGAGGTAAAATTATGTCAGGATATAGACAATACAAACTAAAAGGTATGTATTGATTTCAGATCAGGATCAAGTACCAGGGGCTCTCCCAAAGTAAGGGAAATGTGTTATCATACACGTGAAAATTAAAAAAAACACCTGGAGATGATGGCATATTGATTAATATCATGAAAGAAAAAAAAACTGATTCAACAAAGGCATTAGCCAAGCTTTTAAAGAATGTATAGCAAATTTAAGTTGAAAAGAAATGTAAGAAGAAGAGGTTTGATCAGGTGACATCTTCATTTACAAAGGAACACAGTTTTGATTACGTTTGCTCCTGGAATGATGCTTGCCAGGGTTTGGAGAGCCATCCATCCATTTTCTACAATTAATCTAATTTTCTTCCAATCCAGGGTCATGGGGGAGCGGGAGATGGAGCCTATTTCAGCAAGCAACAGGAGCAATGGGACGGGACGCAAGTCATACGCAGACACACACACACTCACACCAACTCCAATTGTCCCAGAAGGAAGGAAATGGGAGAACCTGGAGAAAACCCACACAAACACAAGGAGAACATACAAACCCCATGTACTGTAGATAGCACCCCAGGACTGAAATTGAACAGTGCTGTGTTATTTGTTTCAACAGAAGTGGTATGAAATCTTAGAAAAGTACTGTAAATCAGGAAGCCATCTTGGTTTATGAAGGAAAACTGTATTCCCAGACTTGAATTAGATTGTCCCTGGAATGATGCCTACTGTACAAAGTTTATAGTGTACTGGCACAACTGTTTGAAACATACTGTACAGTAAGCAGCTGGAGTTAACAAACTTTAGCCATTTCGAGGTAGAAATGTATCAAAGTATGCTTTCCAAATGTGAAATAGACTACACATTATATTTGCTCAGTTTTACACCATAGCACTTGATCGGTTTGCTCACCTTGATCTACTGTATGAACAGTTAGAAAACAGTAAACACAGACAATTCACAACCAGGATTTATTTCAAGCAGTAGCATTTAAGGAAGACCTTAAAAAAACCCTCTTAAAATCACTATAGGCTTCCAGCATAAGGCTGCTTAGAATAATTAGACTGTGGGAATAAAGCTCTGCAAAGAAGTGAATTGGAAGGGCCAATGTTTTCTCATCCCTGCATGGAAATCCTCTGTCTCTATTGGGAAGGGATCTAGTTCAGGAAGGAAAAAGGTCAAGACAACACCCCATATCAAATGACTACGTGTTAGAAAATCTTACTTTGAAATAGGGAGTTATAAAGAAATCAAGCATTCCATAAAGACCTACTGTATATACAGTATACAGTATATATTTCTTGCTGAGGTTTATTGTTGATTATCTAAAAAATGATAATAGAATAAGGTTTGAAAACCTACACTTCTATAGGACCGATTCATAAAAGTATCAACAAGAGAGGAATGCTATAATCCCAAAATCTGTTATTATATTCGAATATGCTTAGGAACACATTTAAAATAGGCAAATAAACATAAGGATGGCTTTGGGATTTTTTGTAATATCTTGGATTACAAATTTTGTTTCATGCATAAAGTTCTATATTTTGATCATTTACTGTACATCATTTTTACAATGTTCAGGTAATCCAAATTTAGCAAAATTACATTTGAGCTATGCTTATGCAACAGTTTGTTTTTAATTTAACAGTGCTTTACAGATTACTTTAAATATTTTATTCCACGTCTCCTATAGCATGATAAGGTGGGAAATAATTATTTCTTTTTTTGCTCCTGAAATGTGTACTAAGACGGGAATTTCAGAAATTTGCTACAGTAAATAGAATAAAGTATGCAGTATAACGAGTGCGTGGCTACTGCGTTTTAAAAAGGGTTAAAACTTGTCTTTTCAGATGCGTTAAATGGGGTAAAAAAAGCGTTCAGCTTTGTTTGCTACTTAGAAACTCCCCTCCTGAGTCACTGACAAATTTTAAACGTCCTTGCTTTCCTAAGACGATGGTATTCAAACTGACTCTTTCTTACACACCAGGGAGCACATAGGGGACATCCGATGAATGAGAGTCGGGTTCCCTAATCGAGCGCCGGCAGAGCAACATTACTGAAAGCAGCCCTGGAAAGCATAACGCAACGCGAAGAAGGACTGCAAGAGAGGTTAATCGAAGTTCTTGATTACTTTTTTTAAGTCACACAAAAAAAGCTTAAATATATACGCATCAAAAGATTGCAAATTTCCTTCTTCAGAAGAAAGCTTGCTTGGGAATACATGCTCACGTTTGCTGTAACATACTTGTGGAATCCTTCTCATTTATTTTTCGATTCTTGGGCAAAGTGAGGGACACACAACAGACTACACATCTTGAATAAAGGTCTGTAATGGAGAGCGAAAGCTTGAGGTAAGTTTATTTCGATCTATAGCTGTAAAACCGAGAGAGACGAAAACAACTTATTGTACAACGGAGGTTGTGCTGTACGTACAGTATGTGCCATGCATTGGTAAATGTCAGATGTTTTCTATTATCAATGAGCACTTAACCGCATGTACGCTTACGTCTTAATGATTACCTGGCTGAAGTTGCACACATCTGTATTACACCGAATGCACGTTCTGTTCTTTAAGGGTAAAATTGGAAAAAAGGAAAGAAACAATTTTCATAAATTTGTATTGTAAACCATTCTCTGTATCTTTGCAAAACGTTCTAATTTTCAGCACACGTTATTACTTTATATTAAATAAATATAATTTATAATTAACTTTTTAACAACACTTAGTACTGTTACAAAGTTGTTTTCAAGAGTTTGTGTTTCATGTAACTGTTTGAAATATCAGCATCGCTTTTCTAGGCAATGGGAAAGAGGGAGACTTCTACATTATTTATTTACTGTACTTGTTGTTTGTTGGCCCAACGTAGTTTCAAACATCTGTGAGTTATTAAAGAGAAGATGGCTTTCATTATACATTAAGTGTGTATAGTCCATGGTACAGACTGCAGACATTTGGTGTAGGGAAATACACAAGTACAGTACCCTATTTTGTAACAATGTGAGATAAATAAAATCTACAACCCCAAAACAAGGAGGAATTATCAATAGAATCATGGACTTTATATACCATCAATGTCTTTCAGATTACTTGAGTAGTCTGGAGGAGCTGAGTAGGTAACTTCGGTATTGTGTGATAAAGTTTAATTTTTTTCTGCACAGCTTTGAACACACTGAACACAAAGGACCTGAAGACCACTGGAAATAAGGACCCATTGGTTCTGCAAGCATAATATTGAGAGCAACTATTTGCAATGCCAGAAGAATCCAGCAGAGACATAATGAGAGTCCCCAAAGCTCCTGAAAGAGTCATAATGGAAAAGACCAATAACAATGACTGTGTGGTGACTACTGTCCCACTGGTCAATGAGGTTCAACTGACAGCTGCTACTGGGGGAACAGAGCTTTCCTGCTACCGTTGTATGGTCCCATTTGGAATAGTCATCTTCATCGCTGGGATAGTTGTCACAGCTGTGGCCTACAGTTTTAACTCACACGGATCTATCATCTCTATCCTTGGGTTGGTAGTTCTATCCACTGGACTTCTCTTGCTGGGCTCCAGTGCTTTGTGTTGGAAAGTAAGACAAGAACGAAAGAAAGACAAAAGGCGTGAGAGTCAGACAGGCTTAATGGCGAGCCAAAGAAGTAGCTTTGCATAAGAAAATAAAAAAAACTAAGAAGGAAGAGAAGCAGGAACACAGGGAGTTTGTGAACTGAGGAGATGACTCTTCTTGATGCCCTTTCAGTTATGAAAAGCACCCACCTCCCAGATTGCTCCAGGATCTCCAAAGAAGTGATAAAACGTTCTAGCATTGAAGGCATTGCCTTGAATTCTAACAGGCTGGACTCATCTGGACAGCTTGGAAGAGTTCTAGCCTGAATGGATTAGAATCTAACAGAATAAAGACAAATTGCTGTTGAATGGAGAATAGGACGTTTATCGTTTATTTATTTCTGTGTCCTGTGGTATTTAGCTGATGGAATGAAAAGTAAATAAAAAAAGAAGAAAAAAGAACAATGAAACATTTGTAGTGACTGCTTCGAGCGCATATTTGAAGAAAATATGACTGCCAGTTTTTATTCACTTGTGGCATTGCTATTTGCCTAATCACTGAAATGAGGTACTTAAGAATTTAATTTTTATGATATCATCATATCTTTATCAAACAAGAAGTAACTACATATTGTAAAAAATATCTATTAACAGTGAAATATTATGTCCTCCAAAACTTTGTAACTAGAACAAGTCTTACCTACAGTATCATTTGGCAACTTAACACAGCACAGTCATAGTCTACTCTCTGTAGTTACTGAGTTAATTATATTTGACAGCATAAAATATTTCTCCTGAAACAGTGACTCTAATTATTTTGTTAATATTTATAACTGTTGTAAATTTATTGGTCTCTTGTTACTAGTGTCTAAAAATGAATAAAACAACCATTTCCGTGAATGTCATTGAAAATAATTGAAGCAGTTTCTTCATTCATGTAAGTTATGACCTAGAGAACTTGGGTTCTGTTTCTTAAAATTGCTGAAGAGTCTTATTCCTCACTTTGGTTTTTCAGAAATAATTATATTGTATAATAACCTAAATTTGTATACACAGATATTTTATACTGTAAATCCATTATTATTTTAACACAAACACCTACAACATAATTCACATTTTCATATGGGGTGCTGCAGCTGGATAGCCAAAAGTCTGTGGTCTAGTAAGGAATAAATTAAAAGCATTTGTAAGCATGATAAAAACAATCGACTTGTTCTGCGCAGTTACTGTATGTCCATGTGCAGTATGTGTCTGCTCAGCATTAACTGTATTAGGTCAAATGGAAATAATTTAGCAATAACGTTTCTTCTCCTTTTACAGTATGTACCATCAAATTAAATGAATATTGTAAAAATGGAATTGAAATCCCACATAATGGATTTCAAAACTATAATTGCTAATTATTTTTAATTCTATTTCAATTTTAAGCATTGGTTTGTAGTGTGCATACTCCCTGGTAAAAGAAAGCTCTTAACTGATCAGTTTGGCTCACTTTAGTTTTAAATAGCACAGTCTGTGCAACTAGCAGTTATATTTATAGGCAGCATTTGCGTTGCTACGCTTCCCTGTGACACCAGACACTATAATAAAATTATTGCTTGCGTCAGAGAGGCACCAACAACACACTTTGTCACTTTTTGAGGGCTAACTTTATCACCGGTCGAGGCAAACCTCCTGGAGGAAGAAGCTGTTGCGTTGCTTTGACACCTGACCCTAGGATCTCATGTTAATCACTTAGAGGTTGTGAAAACACAAGGGTATCTACTTTCCAAATAATGTGTCGCCAAGACCTACAATTAAGAAGAAACGAAGACGGAAAAAGGATGACATGATAAATAATTAAACAGGTGGTGCCAGAAGACTTGATCCCCTTATTGAACCTCACTCTTCAGTCAACAACCTACCTTCCCAAACAGCAGACTATATTCCCATTAGGGATTTGTTGCATAAGTAGAGGAGATAAAAAATACTGCCTACAATGTTCCTCCCTTTGGAAACTTTAGTTGTTTAATCTCCAATCGTGAAAAGCTACTGAATAATTGAGATGCATATTAATTCTATGCATACAGTATGTCCTGTATAATTTAGGATGCCGGAAGTAAATAATATTACAGTATTAGGATATGAGTAAAATGTGTTTTACTAATGGGAATGTAGAAGTAACCAGGATGTGCAGAATGCTTTTCGAATTATGATCATGGAAGTGCCCACTAATCTAGCCCAGATCATCAGCCCAAAGGCTCACACAACACATTCAGAAAGAGTTATGCATTGATGGAATTTTGTTGTAAGATCTATTTCATTATTTGCACGTCCTCTGATACACTTATATACTGTACATGAAAGCTGTTCTTGCTAGTGTGTGAAAGATAAATTGCCACTGCTGCTGCAGCTTTCCTTCAAGCTCCTGCAAGATTTTTCATTTTGCTTAAATTACTCTCACATCAGTGAGATGTTTGCTCCTGGTGCCTGACTCTGTGGGACACAAGCTTGACTCTAATATCACAACTAGATTTCAACAGCCCCAATAGCATTCTGCTACTTAATTCATTACTGTTATATAAAATGTTTGGTCAAAGTCAGAATACTGTCCTGGAAAGTTACATTAACAATACCCTTTCTTAGTTCAGCACTCTTCTACTCACTCAGACATTTAAATAGAGTTACATTCGGCTGAAGTGTAATGTGTGATGAAGAACCTAATCTGGTGGTATTGGGAGCCATTCAACAGCAAAATGGAGAATAGGTAGGTTAAAAAGCAGATTATTTCTCCATTTATAACATTTTGCTTCAAAGACACAAAATATCTTGCATTCTTAAAACTCTAGACTTTGATCAACAGACAATCCTTCAAGACTTTTGCTTACAAAAATATGAAAAGACCTTCTTATGAAAATATATAAAACAGACTAACCCTAAAATGTTATTTTCTGATATATCTACACCATACCAAAAAACATAATATCATAGACATTATAGACACAGCTGTCTAAAATGATACAAATAAGATGGGTTGATGAATGCATAAGAAATGTTCTTTTTTAAAGGAATTAGATAAATGTAAGATGTCTTTCAAATATTTGCAATCTCATAACATTATCTGCTTAAAAATTATTGCTGTCAGGCAAAACACCTTGTACATAGCACTTGGGAAATTTTAAATACAGCTACTCCAAAAACAAAAACAAAATACTTTCTAAAGTTTTTCAAACTTGACAAAAGCTGAGGAGTAGCACAGGAGACTCTTCATATTGAGAGTTTTATTGTGACCTTCTTGTCTCTGGAGTTGAATGACTGAACGTGACAGTTTCATTGATGCACAGAGTCAAATAAATGAGCTCATTCTGGGCTCAGTGGTGGTGTCTCTGCCAAAGCCATCTTTTCAAAGTCATACTCTGGGCCTGACATGACAGCTAGACTCTCTCATTAATGAATCAAACTGACTTGCTTTTCAGGCAAAAGTAGAATGGAATGCACTGTTTTTTTTAGTCCATGGAGAGCAAACACCTAGATTAATAGTGTCTCACGGGGATTCAGCACTAACATCTCCTTTTTACTAAACTTTACTTGTTTTTAAATATTAAGAGTGATACATGCAACTTTTACTGTAAAATTATGGTGTTTATAATTCGGTCAGATTGCAATTGGACAATATTTTTTAAATCCACTTACTGTCATTTGTAACTTGATAATGGCCCCAAAATAACATTTGTAGGATTGCATGCTTCTTAAAATTCCCCCAAAACTCAAAAAAACTAGCAGTACTGCTCCTAGTTTAAAAGATTGCTAGGACAGGATATGTCTTCTCTGTGGCTTAACATTTTGGATCTATCTTTTTTTTTCATGGATCTATCTTTTATGTATCTGTTGCTTGATTGTGCTGCGTTCTTATTGAATACATTTTCATTTTACAAATATTTTTCAAATGCATACCTTTCTTTCCATTTTCAAAAATGTGAAAAACTAGCCCTTACCAGACCCCCCCATGGTCATGGTCATTGCTAGTGGTCCCACAAATCCTGGTCCCAGTCTGCTAGTGGGACGAGCCAGGCTAAAATCATCAATGTCTGGACCACCCAAGCAGCACTGAAATATATTCAGAAGGATGGATATTGAATAATACTTAAATTTTGGTGCACTAATTTTCAGATTATAAAGAGTTTTGATCTCAAAAGCACAAACTCTTCAGAAGAAACAATAGAAGCCCTTGGGTGCGGTGATTTCGGAAAAAAAGTCTAGGACACACAGCACTTGACAACCCACCTGACAAAATCCATTCTGCAGAGCCAGACACAATTGAATACAAAAATGAACATTTCTGTTGGCACTGGGCTTTGAGAAGATAAGCAGAATTTTAAATTCTCATGCTGGTGATTGTGCTTTTTGTTCCGTGCAGAGCAGAATTTAACTAAAAAGAGACAACACCCAGAGTTTGGGAGGGGCACAAGGACTGTGAGATTTTATAAAAGCTTTTCTCATTCCTGCATTTTCAGTCTGATGGAAAACTCCTGTCTGTATCCCTAGACTTCACCCCGCTGCCTCTTCTTAGTGTTCCAAAGAAAGAATGTTGTCTTTTCACAACTGGGAGAGATTTGGTGGGAGTTGATGCAAATTTTATTGTCACATTCTGTCTCTCCCTTCCTGAAAACCCTGGCAGTATTTGCTTTGGGAACAAGTAAAAAGAGTGACAGACTGAAGCTGTATATACTCACGTTGACCAAGCTTGGAAAGTGAACTAATAGGGGAATAGAAGAGGTATTAGGGGACCTGGAACTATTAAAAGAACAGCAAGTACAGGAAATAACTACTGTTTCTACACCCTTTTCTTACAGACTTAAACAATGCGTATAACACCCTGGACCCCAGAAGATAATTGTCAAAGCATTAACTTTTAACATTTTTTAATTTAAGTAAATATGATCTGCTATAAATCACAGTACACTTTAACAGTTCACTTTAAAATAGCTGTCCCTATAGTCAGCAAAAAGTTAGCAGCATCTGTTAAGTAGCTGGGAAGAAAGGTCCTCATCTCATATACGTGTATACAGTAGCTTTTAGCAATGCCAATATTATATATAATATATATCAGCTTGATTCAGCGTTACAAGTTTCTAGTATGGATATGAGATTAGATCAGCAATCCTTACTAGAATATGTACATATACTGTATAGTTGATAAATGTCAAGTAGGTAGCTGCATCAGCATGCATAGGCTGCAAAAGAACAAGTAAAGGTTTATTGTTAGGATGTGTTTCATATCTTCTCTTTTCAGCATGGAATAAACCTTTACTTGTTCATTTGTAGTTAATATATTTGCAATACAGTCTTTCTTTCATCAAAATGTACGGCTAGATTAATGGGCTATGTGTATAAACATAAAAATAAAATTCAATTATTAATCTAATGCTAAGTTACAATAAATTCTTGCTTTATTTCTTTTCTAATGTACTTAATTTTGACAATCCATTATTTGAAAAAGTACAGTAGGTCATGCTTAGCTGTCTTGTAAGAGTTCTTCGAACAATTAACACTGATGGTAACAGGCAAACAGAGAAGTATGCTGAGATTTTTAGTAGGCCTGTAATGATATTCAATTTAAAAGATTAATTCTTAAATTGCAGGCAGTAGGCTTTCAAGTTAATACTTGTGTTTGAACTGGGAACTGCTCAAAGGATAGAAAACAGAGCACAGGGCTGCAGGGTCCAATTGCAGTGATATAATCAGGAGTACCACATGGATCTATATTAGGACCACTTCTTTATTTGGAAAGCAGCAGATGACATTTAATGTATACAAGTGAAGAAAACTGGAAGCAGGCAGAAAAAATATAAACTGTCAATACAAAATGGGAAACCTTGAGCTCGAAAAAGCTTTTATGAAAAAGACTCCAGTCTTATGCT